CCCCTTCCCCCCCATGACCTCCTCCTCCACGACCTCCTCCTCCACGACCTCCTCCTCCACGACCTCCTCCTCCTCCTCCTCCTCCACTTCCTCCTCCTCTTCTTCCTCTTCCTCTTTTTTCTCTTCCTCTTCTTCCTCCTCCTGCTCCTTCTTCTTCTTCTTCTTCTTCTTCTTCTCCTCCTCCTCCTCCTTCTTCTTCTTCTCTCTCTCTCTCTCTCTCTCTCTCTCTCTCTCTCTCTTTCTCTCTCTCTCTCTCTCTCTTCTTTCTTTCCCAGACAGGGTCTTGCTATTTAGCCCCAGGTGGTTTTGAACTTTCCATCTGAACTTGCAGTCTTCATCGTTCAGCCTCCTGAGTACGGGGATTACAGTCTTGTGCCACTATGTCCCGCTGCAAAAGACATTTCTCATGGTTGTCTCTTCAGCCATATGGCACCAGAAGGTTTTGATTAGGCCTGGAATTCTAGGCTTTGTCAGTATCTCAGGAGAAAGGCAGCTCTCCTACTCATCAAGTACTTGTCTCTATGAAATGCTGAGCGAAGGCTCAGTGTCTCCTTTGACCAAGGCTTGTGTGGCAGGAACCGTGGCAGAGCTATTGTGGAGAGAGCAAGCCTCACCTCTGAGCTCAGTGACCTCTTGCCCAGGGAGATTGGAGCTGAGTAGTTAGTGTCCTTCACTTTCTCTGGTGCTGCCTGTGCAAAAGGCAGTGTGGAGTTACTGTGGGGCTATTCAGACTCCACTGCAGAGAGGGCAGAAACAAACCAGGACTCCCTCTGGACCTACAGCTTTCCCAGGAAACAGGCTTGCAGTAACAGCTAGAATTGAATGTCTGGTGTCTGTCTTCCTTCGAATGCCTTGCCCACCTAAGACTGAGTGAATCCAAGCCCTAAAAAGAGAAACATAATGCTAAACCAGGTGTGGTGGTACATGCCTGTGGTCCCAGCACTCGAGAGGCTGAGGCAGAGGATGGCAAGTTCTAGGCTACATAACAAAAACTTGTCTTAAGAAAAAGAAAAAAAGATGATGCTTCCTTTCCGTTTTCTAAGGTGCTGTTGTGTTTCACATTGTTCTCAAACATTCCATTGGACAGCCCTTCAGCATCACCACCTCTTTGTTTTTTTGAGGTAGGGTCTTGTTATCTAATCCAGGTGGGTCTCAAACTCATGGCAATCCTCCTGCCTTAACCTCCTAAGTGCTAGGGCTTTTTAAAGATATGTGCCACTGGAGCTGGAGGGATGGCTCAGCAGTTAAGAGCACTGGCTGCTCTTGCAGAGGACCCGAGTTTGGTTCCTAGCACCCACATGGTGGCTACCAATCATCTGTAACTCCAGTTCTAGGGGATCTGACCTCTTCTGACTTCTGCAGGCATTGCATAACATGGGTGAACTTTCATATATGCAGACAATACACTCATACACATAAAATAAATAATAAATAAATGATAAAATATTTATTTTTATAAAGGCATGTGCCATTACTAGACCTGGCTAAAAAACAGTGCTGTTTAGAAGATTCTAAGGTACTGAGGAATAAGATGGCTTCTTGGGGCCACAGTGGGGCTTAGAATTTGGGTTCTGAAGCCCAGTGTCTTTTGTATGTTTGTCCTTGCCTTCCTGTCCACATTTATTTAACTTAAAAGACCATGTGTTTTGAGCCCAGGCAGGAGACTGCACATCAAGGAGAGAATATCCAGATCATCTGAGGGGGTTCTGTGTCACCCAGGATCACTTCTCAGAGGAAAGGACTCTCCCAATCTGCACATCCCTACCCTTGGTTGTGCCTCAGTTTCCCAGTAGCTGATTGTGTTGCCTTGTTTTGCTCTGAGGGTCCATTCACAGTTCTGACTTTAGTGTCCGAGGGGAAGGCTACGCTAGAGCTCGGTAGTAACCCCAGTGAGCAGAGTTGAGAGTTGAAGAATGTGGTAAGTGCCAGCTCATGCGAGTGGCCAGTCCTGCAAATGGGTGTGAAGGCACCTTCTGTTGCTCATTGCACTGTCACATTGCTAAGCTGGCATTTTCAAGCATCTGGAATTAACATTGTCTTGTTACTGTGGGTAGGAAAAGCTCAGACCAGCTTCTCAGCTGAGAATGGGCAATGTGATCCTTAAAAAAACATTTGGCATTGCTTTATAAGCTGCTTGCCAATAACTGAGCCTGGGAGACATTGGGGTGCTGTCCAGACACTAGGCTGCGTTCTGGAGGAGTCTTGCTCTCAGCTTGCTTAAGGCCAAAGATCAGGTTTCAACACCTGTAAGGGCCCAACTTTCCCGATCCCCATGGTCCATGCTGTTGCATCTTTCGGGCCTGGCTGGTTGTGTGGAACCTTGAGTATCGAATGCAGGAGAAGCAGTCATGGACTGGAAGTTGGGAGATTCAGACCTGAGTCTCATATAGCCATGGACACACTTCTCACCCCTGTGACCTTGGACTAGCTAGCTTCTCTGGGACTTAGTTTCTTCATTTGCTCAGTAAAGCAGGTGCTGAAGTAGAGTCTTGGTGGGTGGGGAGGAGGGGGATGGAGGAGAACAGAGGCTGGTGAAGCATCTTTCAAGTCTGTTTACAGAGGGCCCGAGGCAAGAAGGCCCATGTGCCTCGTCCCCGCCCCCCCCCCCATCACTTTCCTTTCTTTATTCCTCTGGGTCTGCTTCAGGCCAGCTTCTTCTGAGGAGGGAAGATGCCCTGGGTGAGGCAGGGCTGGGCAGTGTTCCCTTGATGTTTAGAATTTCTTGCTGTCTCTACTTGTTTCTGACTTCAGTTAACCCACCCAGTGCTGATGCTTTGTTTTATTAAGACTTTTTATCAGTTCCTGCCCAGAGGCAGCTCTTTGAACAGGCAGAAGTTATGCCAAAGAAGGAGAAAGTGAGAATTGCTCACCTGGCAGGAGAGCCAAAGAGCGTTGCTAGGCACCCCATGGCTTTTCCTATAGCTGCAGCCATGGGGTACTCCATGTCAGAGTCAGAGCTTGGACAACCTCATAGAATGACTAGTCCCTTGCTCTGTTATTCAGTGAGGATCCCGAGGATCAGCTTATGCCAGGTCACCTTGCCGGTGAGCTGGGACCCAGTGCAGGGTCAGCTAAGCCCCAAGCTTGAGCATTGTCTCTGATGTCAAGCTAGCAGTCTCCAGATGACCTTTGATACTGATCTGGAATTGGGTGGCTACAGCTTAGTTCTACTTCCTGCACTGTGAAGCTTCAAGTATAAAATTCATTAGACATTCAGTGTCTGCAAAATGATAGGATCCACATTAAGTGCTACGGAGGTAGGAATGAATTCCCCTGTCCTCAGATTGCACTACTACATTGTGAAGACAGACAGATGACTTAAATACATGAGGTCCATTTTGACAGTATGCAAAGGTGTGTGTTGGGCACTGTAATCAGACTGCAATCAGTTGGCAGGGCTTTCAGGAAAGGGTTTTGGGAGAAAATGTTGTTTATATCAGGTCTTACAAATAGGTAGGCATTTACTTAGTTGGCATGGGTGGGGAGAAA